TCTTAAATCGCATCGTCTATGATGCAAACAATTAATGCCCTCAAAGTCAAAATAACCAAAGCCATCCAGCAAATTCAATCGTATTTATGCGACAGTCATAGAAAATTGGATACCCCTAATACGTGCCAACACTATAGGCAAATCCGTGGCAAATATTTAAAGGATGTTACATTCCATTCATAATATTCAGCTTGGAATGAAATGATTCACAACATAATAAGTTGAATGAATCGTAGATTTAGAAAATTCAGTCCAAATAGATGTCCACAAATTAGTCATCTCATAAGTTTCTAAGAAGTAGTCACAAAATACATGTAGGTAGGTCGTCTCGTTACGTATACGATCATCGTTAGGTTGAATATTATTGCTATGATTTTGAACACCATGAAATGTGAATAATTGGTTAGGATTTTTAGTACAAAATTGAAATGTACCTAGAACAAATAATTAAATTTGCACACTCTTTTAATATTTTAAATTTAGCTACGATGTTTTGTTCATGATTATAAATAAGTAAATATTTAGCTCTATTAGTTTTGATGTTATATTAAGACAACAGCTATTAATTATGTAACGATATAGTAGCTAATAAATACAAAAGATATATTTAAAAAACAATGTGTCAATAATATTATTAAAAATAATATACATACATTAGGTATAATATTATATCACTAACTTGGATGACTTGTTAGGAAAATTTCTACACAATAGAAAAAAAATTAAAAATATTTATTTAAAAAAATCCATTGTATAAATTATTATCGTTGTAACTTAATATTTTAGGCTTTAGTGTTAAGAAAAATCTTGGAGACTTAGTTTTATTAAAAAAGTCCCAAGTTTAAAAAAAAATTTTCCTCCGAGTTTTTTTTCCATTCCCTATTAAAGCTACCTGTATATCCTAATTTCAAAGTATTAGACAATTTAAGATCCGTAATATAATAGTCTACGATTTAAAATACATAAAACCGTAAGTCACAATGGAGGTTCAGAATAGAGATAATYTTTTTGGTTAATGATAATTTATATTATTCAATATGGTAGTTGGTAGTTCATACATAGATAATATTTATTATATTCTATACCACGATTAAAGATATAATATATAATCGTGTTCTGGTGTTCAATATAATATTGACCATTGATTTTATAATAATATAGTCTATACTCTATAGACTATAATTCTATATTATCTACGAGCAGTCACGGACTCGGGACTACACGTCTACACTACTACAGTCCGAGTCCGTCTCCGTGTCGGTGTCTGTCGTGTCTATTAGTTATAAATATTA